GACGGGAGTGAATCGGAGAGGAGAGAGAGAGAGACAAGACAGACAAACAGACAGACAGACAGACAGACAGACAGACAGACAGACAGACAGACAGACAGACAGACAGACAGACAGACAGACAGACAGACAGACAGACAGACAGACAGACATCCGAGCAACACCAGCTACCCCCATTTTGTCCGAAATGCACGATATAAACAGCAAGATATCAAATTAAAACGAAGAATAAACTTAAAAGCTAGAGTCTTTGTTAAAACAGCTCTTCATAATAGAAGTCTTAGGAGAGCATTAGGGAGGAAGTAGCAGCACCTGGCCGCAGAGAATTGAGCACACAATGGGCAATACTCTACCTCATTATGACTGGAACTCCTGAGACTCTGAAGCTGAATTAGTCATTAAGAGTCGGTGCCAGGTGACACCAACGACCATCCGTCTTGGAGACAATGGCTCATTAACCCTGATAACATTGGGAGGTCGTGTCTTGGGTTTTCTTGGGATATCTGGGGGATATCTTGAGTCACGTATAATGAGAGAAAGAATTAATTTGGGCGCTATTGAGGAGTAAAGATATTCTGGACGAGGGGAAGAGAGCGCTATGGATCTTACACGTGGAAAATTAGTTTCATAGCTAATTCAAACAAAACATAAAACAGCTTAAAAATAAAATATTGCTAAAAAATAAAATTCAGCAAACAGTGTTTGAGTGTTACTTTAATTTGTTGACATGGAAAATTATTTGTTTCAGAAGGACAGTAGAGAAGATTGGATGAAATACACTGCGTCCTCATCAATACAGGCCAAATGTTCACGTCGTGCAGCTGCCCACACCCAAGTTATTGAATAAAAAACGCTGTATACACGACGATTCAAAATTGATGATGTTCGAAGGTTCTCGAACAATACTTTGTTGACAACCTATGTTTGAAGCTGTGTAAATACTTCACCCACGTGTTACAAATGCAAATAATTGCCAGAAGAACCTAAACACCTAATCTAATCTAAACTTCGCCTAAATATACACGATATGCTTAAAAGCAATAATATTAATTTATATTTGACAAAATTCCTGTTTTCAATGAACAAACAGCAAGTTAAATTTAATGTGCCATTAGGGTCGGCTGCTGGATGGAATGAACATAGCCTGAGGACGGGATGATAAAATGTATGTTGATATGACCGACTTGTTATGTTACCTCTCCTCCTTCCTATGCTTTGTCTGGCCGCCAGGCGTTACCAACTGAGGGAGCAGGAAGTGGTTGGGCTTCTACGCACCTTCCCGTTCCTGTATAAACACAAGTGTTTTCATAAGTTTTTTTCCAGTATCTACAGATGTATGTGTTTGTTTTGTATTATTCGCATGAACAAATTGTATCAAGGGTAATACTGTACTCCCATGCATACGCTAGCACCAACTACCTCAGTGAGTAGTTTGTCATGTGTATTCACTTGTATACACGTGTATGCACTATGCTGAGCTTACTGGCGGTTCATTGAGATTTGTCGGGACTCTTCGAATTACCTGATGTCACACCCCCAGGAAGAAGCCTGTAGCAGCTGTCAAACTCCCAAGTACCTATTTAATGCTAAGTGAACAAAGGCATCAGGGTAAAAGAAACTCTTGCTATTTTGTTTCTGCCTCAGCCGGGAATCAAACCCGGGCCGTTAGGACTACGACCCTCGAGCGCTCTCCACTCAGCCGCGAGACCGAGTGCACAGCGTACACACAAACCCGAGTGAGGTGAGTGTGTGCTTGATTACATCAAAAACTCTGCACAGGATCCTTTAAAAATACAGGTGTAATTAAACTCAGTATCCAGACTTTAAACCCGAAAGTAAAAGAAAATATCGATTATACTGGACGGCAAAAATGGAGAGGCAATTTTTTTCCTGCATATAATGTGGGGAACAGAATCATGTTTATATTTTTACCTTCGGTTTGTATTGAATGCCGTAGAGGGCGAGCCTTACTGATTCTAGGAGTGAGAATGAAAGAGAGTGTGAGGTGGATGGTAAGAAGATAAGGAATGAGAGACGGTGAGTGAGTCGGAAAGGAGGGGAGATAAATAATGGAAGAACAACACATAGGGAGAGCTGGATGCAGAGATGAATAGATGACAAAGGTACACTTTTTGCATTTGCTGAGTAAAAAAAAATATATATATATAAATCTA